ATGAGTCAGCAGTGTGATGCGGTGGTCAAGAGGGCGAATGCCACCCTTGGTTGCATAGCCAGAAGTGTGGCTTCTAGATCAAGAGAGGTATTACTACTACTCTACATGACTCTGGTGCACCCGCAACTGGAGTATTGTGCTCAGTTTTGGACCCCTCATTACAGAAAGGATATAGCCAGGTTAGAGTCAGTGCAGCGAAGGGCCACAAGGTTTGTGGCCGGTTTGCAGGGGATGGGGTATGAGACGAGACTGAGGGAACTGGGTCTCTTCAGCCTGGAGAAGAGGAGACTCAGAGGGGATATGTTGGCGACATACAGGTATGTGAGGGGATGTCACATGGAGATGGGTAGAGACCAGTTCTCCCCTGCAGAGGAAGGCAGGACGCACTCCAACGGAGCAAAGCTCAGGGAGCCAAGATTCCATTTGGATGCCAGGAAGCACTTCCTGACAGTCAGGACCCCGAGGGTGTGGAATGGGCTTCCACAGGAGGTGGTGGAGCCCCCATTGGTGCGGGTGTTCAAGTGTAGGCTGGACGTCCACATGGTGGGCATATCGTGAGCAGAGCTGGCTGGTGCTGGAGGTCAGACTAGATGGCCCGGGAGGCCCCTTCTGACTCGCTCTGTTTCTATGTTTCTATCTGTCAGGCGCCTTCACACAAACAACTGCGAAGTGAGGAAACCATGCAGGGTTGCTTTCTATGGCATGTGAACCCAGCCAGTTTCTAGGAACTATTGGATCATTCCCTTTGATTCAGTCCATGTAAATGTATACATGAATCCAACAACAGTTTGGGATCGGGGAAAGACTTAGTGATATTCAAAGCCCCACTGTAAGATAGGTCTACAAACTTGCCCTCATACAAACACAGACATTGGCCTGCCACTGGACATCCCCAAAATGCCCTGGGTTAGCAGTGATTGAACATAGTTTCCATCATCCAAGGCTAGGCAGGAGTTTCCATAGCCCAGAACTGCCACGGGAACCAGGCATATATACAGCAAAGCCAAGTTCCACAGGGTGACATCCTGGGACCTTGCAGGCCTGAAGGTTCTGATAACTAGTATCAGAAGCCCAGGGGTGGAAATTCAGTTTAAAAGGAATTCTATGGATTCCCTAAACAACATCTGAGTAATTTCCAGGGAGCAGGAGCCTGAAGTGAGGTAAGGAGTAGGCAAGTTTAAGACATGACTTCATGTTGCTTTCCTTTGTACTAGCTGCCTGGGAAAAGGAACATTTTCCCTTTGTTTCAAAGCCCATAGATGTGGAAACACGCATTTCCTCATCAAAGAGAAGACTGTATTATTCTTACCATATAGCAGGGACCATGTGACTGTCCAGCATTCTCCAAATGGTCACCTCCCTTCCACTTAGCACACTCTTTTTCTCCAGTCACTGGTTGTTTTGTGATTTCCCAGCTTCAGATTTCCCCCATTTTAAAAGGGTGAAACACTTCTCCTATGGCTTATCAGCAATAAGGGCTTTAGTCTACCATAGCGTTCCCCAACCTGGTGTCTTTCAGAGGCCACCGAACTGCAACTTCCAGAATTCCTATCCAGCAGGGCCATTGACTGGGAATTCTGGGTGTTGCAGTCCAAATGTGTCTGGAAGGCACATGGTTGGGGAAGGGTGGTCCACCATATGTCGATAGTTTTAGCCTCAGTCTTTTACCTTCAGTCCTACCCTGGAATGGATCCCCAAAGCATTTTTCCACAATAGAATTTAGTCCTCAGGCCAGACAACTCCCTACCATATAGGACACCTTTTCTATGCAGCATGTTGGGTTTGTTGTACTGTCTTTTATAATTCCAGCCAAATGCTACACTGGGACCTTGGTTGAAAGAATGTCAAATGTAGGAAATCAGAGGCAGTAGACACTTCTCACAATTCGCGTGTCAAAACACATGATATCAGCTTGATAAACACTACACTGTGATCTTTTATCTAGTTTTATTTCTTTCACCTCTGGACAATGGTATAGGCACAAGTCATTGATGGCCAGGAAAATTTCCAGGATGTTCCCATTTCATTTCTTGGATTGGTCCTCTACTGCTGCTATGTTACAGAGAACTGCGTCTCAGAATGTTTTTATAATTCAAGTAGCGAAATGTAATGCTCAAAACCATCCTAAGGTTGTGAACCTGAAAATGCTAGGAACAGAAGTAGCCATGGAGAGACGTGCCACAGAGAAAGGAGTATGAGCAGCTGCACAAGAATACCAGAATAATTCTTTGCAACTCATAGATCTAATACTGGGATTTTTCTTATTTGTCCCTGGATTTAACACTGTTCTTAGTGTTGGTTGCAGTTTTATTTGCTTGTTTCCTCTATTAGCTTTATTGCCCAGAATACCAAAGGACTTCATATCCCTAAATTTTTACAATAATTTGGAACTCATTTATACCAGCTAATGTTTGCAAATCTGATTGCTGGTTGCAGCGGGAGACTGTCCTACAAGCAAATATCTAAATAGCTTTTAATGACAGCAGTGCAACTGAGCCAGATTCAGCCAAACTACTCAATAAATCAACCTGTGGTGTTAAAGCTTGGTGTTTGTGTTGGTTTGCTTCAGAAACCAAGTCCATCCCGTTGTGTGTTTTGAATTATGACTGTTCTACTCTGCTGAAGTTTACAGAATGTGGGCTAGAATTGGAGCTCCTTGCTTTCATAGCATTCCTTAAAGCAGACCTACATGTCTGAACTTGGGTGCTGCAGTTGGAAACTGCCAAAATCTGCTAGAAGTTAAAAAGACAGGCCTAGATAAAACCATTTTCTAAGCACTTTTGTTATTTTGTCATGTGACGTCAAATGCAGCACACACATAAAGAGATAGCTTTATCCAAATCAAACTTTTTAAATGAATATTGAGCTACTTGAATGAAATTGCTATTCTGAGATGAGCACTGAGGCTGGTAATCAGTAATCCAGTTGCTAATAGGGTTTTTTGGGAGCAAAGGGAATAAATGATTTCATGAGTGATCGCCTTGCAAGACTGCAAGATAGCAAACTTCATTTATAATGGGGCCATCTCTTCTTGTATGCCAGTCACAAAGGTGTTTTCTAATAGCTTTCCAATCTTGCAAATTGTTCAGGTGGTTTTTTTCCTCCCTAAAATATGCAGGATCTTGCAGGGTATTGAATAACAATTTAACAGCTTGATGGATGAGTTGTTCTTTGTTCTTTTCTTTCACCCTGTATGGTCGCAAGGACATTTATGGGCAATATATGGAGCTCCCCCCACCTCTTCAGTCTTGCCCATAGTTTTAAAAGCTTATGCCATATTGATCCTTGATGTAAACTTATTACTTTCAGTAGAGTTTTGCAGTCAGACATTCAAGTCAAATGTGATTATTGTCAAATTCTACAGCGCCTGTTCTTGAGAATGTGAATGCTGGAAGATTTACGCCTACGGTGCTGTCCATTGATGCTTCCCCTAGAATATTAAGTTGTCCTTCCTTCCCAGCTTTGTTCCCTGACATGCAAAGTTTTGTAACAGTTCATTATTTGTAGTTGAGATCTTTTCATTATTAATAACAATACACAATAACAGAAATGAATGGGGTGGGAAATAAAAGAATGAACAACAGATAGAGGGAAACAAAGTGACAGAGAACAAAAAAGGACATCTCATAATTAAACGATGGTCTTGTTGTTATAGTCTTGAGTCTCTGTGGAATTATTGGAAACCCAGCCTTTTTTTCAAGTGAGGTAAGTGGCAAGTCCAGAACAAGAAAGAAAGGGATAGCAAAAGGTGGGGACAGAGAGTATGCTTTTGTGTCAGCTGAGTAAAGGGTTAGATTCTCAGATCACAACTGTTGTTATTCAGCAGAAGTATTCAGCATGGCATCCCATTTGTCCTTAAGGGGGAAATCCCAAACACATTTCAGTCAGAAAAGAATGCTGTAACTCCCCAGATACTGGAAGCTTAGGGCTTTTTGTCTCAAGGTGCAGTTCTGTTGTACCATCCAGTCATCAGTATCAAGTGAGAGTCGGTTTTTCAAGCCCATAACACTAGCTTTTGGCAGTGGAAGCATCCCACTGTATCCAAGCCACACCTGTATATTATTTAAGAGTCTAGAGTACAATCAAACACCGAGTAAACAAATGACAACCCACAACCTGTGCCTTCTCTGAGACTGATTATTTGACTACTTTCACTAATCACAAATTAGCTTACAGCTCCAACACATGTGGAAGTGCAGCTAAAACTGCCCAGGGAGCCTTTGAGCTGATGGGTGATGTAAAAATATAATTAATTAATTAACTCTCAACCATTCCTAATATCAGGGCTATCAAATTAATTCTGTTTGACAAGCATGGAATTGGATTTGTAGTAACACTTTTTGTTCTATGAGCCAAAGTTTGAGATAAAACATTGGGATATAAATTACCAAATGGTTGCCTTCCCCAAGCTGGTCCCTTCAGATGTGATATCCTGCAACTCTAATCATGCCTGTGTTGGTTGGGAATGATGGGAATTTCAGTCCAACACATCTTGAGTGCATCTGTTGGAGAAAGTTGACCAAATGCAATAGGTCAGATACCGGTTTGCCACTTCAGTGCAAACTAGGCCTCCTTAATTATCATGGAGGTTTAATTTAAGACCAAACTAGTCATGAATTCAGTGGACTCTCTTGGCCAGTGCAAAACACCTTATTTTAAGGGTGTAGGGGGTTCTCCCCACACCCCATAGTTCAACTCCTTGAAACTGCTGTCCTAGGCCCTTTTACCCAGTTGAGGTGATATTCAAGTCAAGCTGAAAGACATATATCTGAGGATATCCCACAGGAGTGTGAAATGTGTGTTTCTTTTGGTACGGCATCACCCTAGCCCTTAAAATAGGTCTCTCAGCATCCACTTTATACAGGACTGTGGCAACACTACCCTTATAGAGGCAGGTCTGGTGCCATCACGTTGGCTGTGCTCGTTATCCTTCCATTGGACATGATCATCAATGACAAGCAAAAGCATGCCCTTTCTTTTGTATTTTTATCTACCTGTAGGAATTCCATATACTCTCCACAGAACTCAAAGAGAAGTGTGAAACAATAAGAGAGAAGCTGATGCACCTGGAAGATCAACTCCACATAGCAATTTGCAGCAGTGATGAAAGCCTGGTTCATATCCTTTTTATATTCTGTGTTTGATGCTCCAGCTAAAGAGCTGGGTGTCATCGGCAAGATAAAACTGGCATTGCATCAATCCTGCTTTAGAGAGGTGTGTTAGAATAGAGCCTTGTTCTTGAGAAGCCTAAACTGATAAAGCAATGCGAATGAGAGCAGATTTACCACTCTCATTTTTGAAATCCTTGTGGAAGGTTCCCCAAACTGCTTACACCCAACCTATTTTGGATCACACATTCTGTTATGGACTGAGGGCCAAAGTGGACATTAGTGGAAACATGTAGCTAGCAGCTTTCTCCCCACTACCTGTTGTTACTCTAGTGTATACTCAGTAACCTAATCTGGATTGGGACCCTGGTAGGAAGTAAGGGGCTTAAACTCTTCCTGCTCCCCGTGCAGGGCTCCTGTGCCTGAAATTTATGTTGCAAAATAATGAGTAAATGGATCACTTTTTTGTAATATAAATTGCCAGTGCACTGGGAGTGTGTGTGTGTCCTGGATCAGGCCCAGAGAAGGAAAAAAGGTTAAAACAAGGCCATTCCCCATTCTAGGGCCCCAGTCCAGACTGTCCATAGTCCAGTCAACACTGGTTCTCTACCAAAGGCCCTAAATAGAGCACAAAGCAGAGTCCCAAGCTCTTGTAACATTTGCTTCAAGCCATATCTATTTTAAAGAAGTGAATGACTGAAACTGAGAGACAGGCACCTTATACAAGGAACAAATTTCCCTGCAATGTTTCAGTCCCTGCAACAAGTTCATTTGGACCTGAGATACCCAACTCCTTCTGAGCCTGCCCGCTTTCAGCCATGCCTACCCAGAGCGCTGCTTAAATGTGAGCTTAACAGGGTGGTACTCAAAGAGCAAACAGAGCATTCAAACTGGATAGTTGCTGTCCAGTCATCAGTGGTCCTGCCTGCCTCCAGTTTGTTGCGTCCAGGCTTCCCGACTGAGCAGGCACCTGCGGGATGCTCTGACCTCCACCACAGAGGTATGCAGAGCACAGACCTCTTCTGTGCTCCTCCATTGGCCCCTCAGAGCCTCAGAACAGTCCATATTTGCATCTTCCTGTCATCCACTACTTGGGACTGACGGTGAGGCAAATGTGGGTTTCAGCACCCATGCGTTTTTCCCAGCTGTTTTCTTCTCGGCATCCAATTCAGTGCTTAGTTACCAAGTGGGTATCATTGAACAGTCCTGCCCAGAGGAGCCCTCAGAAAATAGCCAAGAACTATGCATCTTCCGCTTGCTGAAACAGAGAGGAACCTTGTCATTGACTTGATCCCAAATTCGGCCATACCAAATAGGTGCTAACTAAGACTTTTTGCATTCATGACCTGAAAAGTGTATCTGAGCTTCATGTGGTAATACAGGAGAAACTTCCAAATAGGAATGGAAGGTATATTCTAGATAATAGGCTTTGTATTCAGTTTAGTCTAATGCATGCACTTAAAAAGAATCCACCCTGAAATCAGGGTTTTCCTCTGTCCTGTAATGCTTATAATATCTTCACATCAGTAGATGTCTGGGGGTTCATAATAACTTTTCACATTTTCAGCTGAACTTGTGGATGGAGGGCAAGCAGGGTGCCCTTGCTGTTTCCGTTCCTGATCTCTTTTTCTTGAGCTAACACGCATAGAGTTTTATACGCATTTGGCTCTTGCGGTGCAGGTGGGAATGCTGCTTTTCCATGGTTGCTGGTCATGTGGAAAGATTCCTCTACATGTAGCAGGGTGGTTTGTGTGATCCCCTTTCCTTCTCTACAAGTCCAGATGAATGTGTGAAAAGAGATATATATTTTCTACACCCGGATATGTACACTAACCAGCATGATCTACCTAACCAAACTTAAAGCTGCAATCGTATATGCATTCATGTGGGAGTAATCCCCACTGAACTCTGTGCACATAATTAGGCATGCACAGGATTTCACTGTTTGTGAATTAGCATCCACAACCAAATCAGAGAATGAATATCTTGGCAGCGTGTTTTTGCCTTAAAATGTTTGATGTCTAATATTGTGGCAGATTGTCCTTCATTTTTTCAGCTGACAGTGTTATATGGTGCACATAGCCCTAGGAGGATGGTCATTTGTTTCTCTTCCAGACGACAGCCCTTGAATGAAAAAAGAGAAACCTCCAGGCATCTCAGTAAAGCTTCCTGAATCTTTACCTGTTTTGGTCATAAACTGAAAGGCAGAATCTTGAAATTGGGGAAATCATTGTTGCCTGCCTTTTTCTTCCACAATTATTTTTCATGTAAATTGTATCCCTAAGGATTTGTTGTTGTTGTTGTTAGTCACGAAGTCGTGTCCGACCCATCGCGACCCCATGGACAACACTCCTCCAGGCCTTCCTGTCCTCCGCCATCCCCCGGAGTCCACCTAAGCTCACACCAACTGCTTCAGTGACTCCATCCAGCCACCTCATCCTCTGCCGTCCCCTTCTTCTTTTGCCATCTATTGTTCCCAGCATTAGGCTCTTCTCCAGGGAGTCCTTCCTTCTCATTAGGTGGCCAAAGTATTTGAGTTTCACCTTCAGTATCTGGCCTTCTAAAGAGCAGTCAGGGTTGATCTCCTCTAGGACTGACCGGTTTGATCGCCTTGCGGTCCAAGGGACTTGCAGGAGTCTCCTCCAGCACCACAGTTCAAAGGCCTCAATCCTTTTGCGCTCAGCCTTCCTTATGGTCCAGCTTTCACAGCCATACATTGCAACTGGGAAAACCATAGCCTTGACTCTATGCACTTTTGTTGGCAGGGTGATAAAGCCTGCTTAAACTGGATGCACGAGGAAATGTGGAAGTAGATGGCCCAGACAAGATGAGGAGGAGAAGGAAAGGATATATATGTAAGACACTGAGCAGGAAAAGGCAATTTTAATCTGTAACAAACCCTATTTGAAAGCCTTAGGACGGATTACAATATTTTAAAAGCCAGAAACAGAAAAACAACCCTACATTAATAGGGACTTCTAAATGTCTAGTTGCAGGGGGAAGCAATGATTCCACATTTCTTGTAATGTCTAGTAGACCCAAAAATACAGTGGTGGAAACTCCAGCCAGTTCCAACAGAGTTAAATTCTAGATTACACAATGGTGATGCTGAAACTGTGCGCTTCTTTAAATGTCATGCTGCATGTTTTATTTATTGCAGTCGTGCATCCTGCTCTTCTTTGAGAAGCTCAGGGGAGCTTAGATACCCCCCATCCCTTCCTAGCAGCCTCCTGCTCGGTCACCAGGATAACATCATGAGGGCATCCTCAGTCCTGGGGCCATTCCTTGGCCATGTGAATAGAATGTTCACAGTTTGGCTAAGAGCAACCCAGGCACCACACGTTCAAATCGGGGAGCAAACAGGTTCATCTAGGCATAGTCTCCTGTTTGTTCTAATGGGATGGACACTGGCAGGAGACAATAAAGGGAAAAATCGTACTAGTTCATGTAGGGCAGCTGAGCCAACTCCCAAGAAGAGCCATGCCAGATCAGAACCATGGTCATCTTATCCAGATTCTGCTCAAAGATTGGCTGGCCATCATTTGTGCTGTGTTGTGTCTTAATACTTCATGTCGTGAGATGGGGTTCCTCTCTCTGCCCATTCAAAGCCACAGGCCTTTCTTGCAAGACGTTCTTTACTGAGCAAAGCATTTCCGGAAGCTCAAACACCCAGAATGACTCTGAGCATGCACAGAGCAGTTTGTTGAAACCGACCTAGTATTCCCCTCCAGGAACTCTCCCTATGAGCGTGCCTGGGCTCCACCCCTAGGGGAGTGGCCTTCTGAAAATGAGCCTCCTCTCTGTATACTGTTCCTCTCATTGGGCCACTTTGCTGATGTTGCATCATGGGGTCAAGAGCAGTACCTGAGCAACTCCCCTCTTCCAAGTTCCCTCCCACTAACTGTATGTCTTAGTTATTCCCAGAGGCTGCCTGGGGAGTCGGAATATATGGAATTGGCCCACATTCTAAGCCCCCCAGCTCCTCCTCCTCCTCCAAAATCCAGCCAGCAGGCCTTGAGAATGTGCGCCCACGACGTCAATCTTTCACTCCCAACACTTCAGATGTTCTTTTCACTTGATCTCTTTCTCTGCAGAATGTAACCTAGGAAGAAGATACTTGGAATCCAGCAGATCAGCTTCCATGAGCAGGACTTTCCATTTTCAGAGCACAACCTGCCCCTGGAAGCTGATCAGCAGAATGCTGCCTGTCAGTGCTACGCTGATGCAGCAGTGACTTGCATCAGAAGCCAAATGTGCAGAAGAGCTGGCAGAAGCCATGGCTGAACTGGTTGTCAGCAAGGTCAGTTGCTTGCTCTTCAAAAGAGAGCAGCATTAAAGACCACCAGAACATCATTTTTGGTGGCACCTCAATCAGTTGCTAAATATTTTTACACCTAAGGGCACAAAGAAAAAAAGCATTGTAGGCCATTTTGGGTTGATACATATAGAATTGTGTCTTTAATCATCCATCAAAAATACTCTTGGCCCGAGAGAGGGTGGCCAAGGGTTCAGTCCTCCAAAACCTTGTAGGCATAGCTATGGCTACCTCAGTATAATGTGCTGAAGTAGCAGCCATTGTATCTTTCAAGAGAGAGATTAAAAGGTTCCTTCTGAGAGATCTAGCTTCCTGGTGTCGTCAACCAAGCACTTCTGCCAATATTTAAACACACATTGTGGTTTTGATTAATAATGCAACTTCCATTAGAAGAAATAAATCCCAGATGTCATTGTTTTTCATTATACATTTTATGGCACAGAATACTGGAACCAACCAGCCTGCTAGTAGGAGATGAATAACACACAACACCAATGAAGCCAGCACTCATACTTAGCACTGCATATTTACACTGGGCCCACTAGGGATTTCTATTTAATATTGTAGCTTCTCAAAGCAAATACGAAACAGTGGGTTTTGCATTGGGTGGATGGAGGTTTGGTTAGAAAGCTGGCAAGTTATAGCTGCAGGCCTATACCTGCTTACCTGGGTGTTATTCTCATTGACCATAATGGTACTCATGCCTAAGTAGACAGGTGTTGGTGTGCATAGC